ACATAGATCTTTGTTAGAGTCATTTTTTGCTATTGAAACTAGCCCGGTTAGATCCGTCCCTGATACCAATTTGTTAGGATCGGGAACCGGGTAGTGCGAAATTTAGCCAAACAACGGTATAATGACAATAACAAAGACAATTGAAGTTGATAACAACGACAATTAAAGCATATAAAGAAGACACCAATTTAACGTGGTTCGGTCAAAGTGACCTACGTCCACAAGCGGAGAGGAGCAATTTTACTATACCAATACGAGTACAAAAGAGAGTACAAAATTAGAGTAAATACTCTAATTTATCCCAAATACTCTAAGGGAATAACCTCATAAGATCACTCCAAAGAAAGGGTTCACACAAGTATTTCTCAACACTTAACTCTCATACAAAACACTCTTAATAAAGGAAGAAATAAGAAATGAAGACTCAAATCTTGTTGGTGTGTCTAAAATGAACTAATGACCTTCCCTTTTATAGGCAAAAAAGTCTTGGCCTCTTAGGTGTAAAAGAAGAGATACAACTTGTGCAAATGATGTCCAGCACACACAATGCAATATTTTTGGGTCCCAAAGAATATTGCCAACAAAGTCTACACTTTGCAAAGATACTTATGCTTATTTGAGATGGATTTCATTAGCCAAAATATTGGCCATAATTACAATTATAAATTATTTTATTAAAAATAAAAAAAATTAAAATTAAATTATTTTTAAATATAAAAACTATTATTTTATTCTACAAATTTAAAAAGATCTCGTAAATTGAAATGAAAGAAAGTCATTTTTTTCATCACTATTTTTTTTTTCTAACCAATTTCAGATTAGGATCACTAGGAAATTGGTTTGTAACATAATTCTTTAAATCATTAGTTGGATTACAACATCCGACTTTCTTTAATCATAGTTTTGAAATTGGTTCACATAATTATCATTTTTGCATGCATGAAACAAATATCAATTCTGATTTACGTATTTCAATAATTAAGAATGCAAGTGGAAGCAAGTGGAGAGATAAATAACCTTTTATTTGAAGCAAGTGGAGTATTTGTTTCTTCATTAACTGTTCAATTTTACTTTTCATTATAAGTTGGGTTCATTCACACAATCACACTCTGTTGATAACTTTCCGTTTTTGTCCTTACCATTAAGAAAACTATACAAGTGAAATGAGTAAATCCATGTATGAAACATTTTGAGGAAAAAGTTCTAAAAATAGTTTCTACTTTTGACTATATTTTGAAATTACCTTCTGTTACCTAATACTGATTGAGATTAGACCCAAAGTATAACAAAAGATAAAAGTTAGCTCGAATATGTTTGACCACTTCTTCTCAGAGATTGTATAGCATGCGCTAATTAAATCGTGACACGTCATAACTCAAGGGGAGAAAATATATCCCAATTGATAATATTTAAATAAATAAAAATAAATCAGAAACAAATCCTCCCCACTTGTCTCTTATACTAATATATATATATATATATATATATATATATATATATATTCTATATATTTTATACAAATTTTATACATTTTTCGGCTATTATTTTTGCAGCGGCTATACATTGTCATTTTTTCACAAATTTTTCTGCGACACATGTATCAAACATATATCACATACACATGTATACATGTGATACACATTTGATACATATGTGAATACACAAATAATACACAATATGACACACATAATTTTTTCCCCCTCATATTTCATCTTCTACTTCGAATTTTCAATTCAAACCACCTCAAAACTCTGCCAAATCATCCCAAAACTGAGATTCAAACTTCTTAAAATATTTTCAATCTATTCTAATAATACCCACTCAAAAGAAAGCAAAGATTTGACTTTTGTTTTTTGCCACAAATAGCTAATTGGCTAATTATTGATAATATTTAACTAATATTAATAATATTTAATTAATTGGCTAATTTTTGTAATAAGCTACTGATAAATAGATATAGCTGATAGTTTCTCGTACAATTATTGACGAACAAAAAGAATCCCAATCTAATGAAGATAACATTTTTCTCATTTGACCTTTTATTGCTTATGACAAGCTGTAAGGCCCGTATACTTTGGACATAGACGCATAGTTGCTGGGCGGAATTGGCACAGTGAGCCACCTCTAGAGTTGTTTAAATCAGTGTTTTAAAAGGCGTGGACGTAAAGGCGAGGCGTTTTATATATGTCCCAGTGAAGCGTAAGCCCTGAGGCATAAGGCGTAAGCCCCATAGGTATTTAGTTTTTAATATTTTATAAAATAATATAATGACAGTAAATATTTATATACAAGTAAAATTACATAAAAATTGAAAAAAACTATAAATATATATATATGTGTGTGTGCGCGCGCGCGCTCTATCCCCACAAAAAACTAGTCAAAACAATCTATTATATGCTACTTACAAGCACAAGTAACTTGAGTCTAAAAGAATAAAGTTTTCTACATGGAGGAACAAAAAGGATGACTAACCTGCAATTTGAACTTCGAACTTGCTGCTATGAAGGAAAATGGAGTTCTCTTTATATTTGTAAAAATAAATTAAATATTCGTTACTTTTGGGAGATATTAGCAGACTAGCGGACAAGATAAAGAATTGGGAAAGACCATGAATTAGGGCTTCAATCAATAAAAAATATTTTGACTTTTAAATTTAATACTTTTGAGTTTCCCTTCAAACCTTTTGAGTAATTACCAAACTGACTTTTGAGAATTTGGGTATTATATGAAGGACTTATTCAACAAATTTTATTTTAATTTGAAAAAGTCTCTGGGGCTTACTCCTCACTAAAACAACGCGCCTCAAACGCCCGGGCGTACGTCCCGAATTGTTGGGCGTACGCCTCTTGAGACTTTCGCCCCACACCATCGCCCCGGGGCGTTTTTGGTAAGCCTCACCCAAAAAACGCCTTTTAAAATGCTGGTTTAAATGATAGTCAATATATGCGAATTATATAAATTTTAACCACTTGTATTATTAATTATTGAATAATATGGAAAACTAGGGGTGTCAAATTGGCAACTTAAACTTGGGTTGGTTTTGGAAGAGTCAAAATTGGTTGAATTAATAATCCAAAAGTTACTTGGGCTGAGATGAACTGGGTCAAGATGGAGTAAAATTTGGGTCATAACTCAACCCCCAACTCTTATCTAGCTTTAATTAATGTGTGTTATTTTCTTATTAATTGTTTAATTATCAAATAATTTTTTTTTTATTATGGTCATATATAACATATCAAACAAAAAAAAAAGAATTAATTTAAAGATATTTTAGCAAAGTTATTCATGGATCAATTTGAACTAAAATTAGCCCAACTTTAGATGAGCTGTGTCAAGATGAACTAAATTCAATAGATAAGTAGGTCAATGACCGGCCCAACCTTGAGCGGGTCAAATGAGTTTGGGCTCCCAATGAAACTGGGATTTATTTCAAGCCATTGTTGGTTTGAAGATCAGAGACTAGGGCCTTTTATTTCCCTCTTGCTTCTACTTCATTGTTATTTTTCTTCAAAACTGCCTATAGTTCTTGACATGTTTTTCTAGGTCAACATACAAATATTTTATTTTATATACTCATATGTTACTTATAATTGGTATGCGGAGTTCTTGGATCGATGTTAGTCTCTTAGGATCAGAGAATATGTTATTATAAGATATTTGTTCTCATTCAATAATTATTTTAGAACTGCCCTTGAGATTTTAGAACTTCTTCGACTATCTTCGCTGCTCAAATTCCTCAACCCCACAATGTTATTATGATGCATTGCTATATATTCTCGTGTCCAAATTGTAGAATAATTAACATACTTTTCTTTCTTGTTCATTCCTTTTTCGTTTAAAATGTTGCCCTTGTAAATGCCAACTCGGCTTAATGTTGCAACGTTTCGTTAATTGTGAACCTGTTTAAGCATAACCAAGAAGAAAAAAGTGGGGAAAAAAATAGGACTTGATTAGTTTGAGAGACTAGGGTGTCCCATTTTCTCTCGTAAATAGGTATATCAAGGTTTCTTGAAAGAATGACCAGAGAAAGAAGATATGGTTAGTTTAGAAGGTTAATTGGGATTTTCTAAAATAAGTAAATGTTGGACTAACTAATGAAGGAAATATGGAAAACTTCTGTTTGCTTTTGAACCAGCGAGGGAGCTAGGAAATATAATTAACCCTAGTCTCACGCTAAGTTTGTAATTTTGTTACACGTAACATCTCAAAGAAAGGACCCTCTATATATATACGTATCTCATTTTATTCTTGTTGCCTTACATGTTATGATCTTTAACGTTTAACACTTCCACAAACAGTTTCCATCTCCCCCCCCCCCCCCNAAAAGTTTGACTTTTCTCGTAAAGTGTTATTATATCCCCCCCCCCCCCACCACCACACAACCCAAAACCCAAATGGAAAACAAAGCTTGCTTCATCTGGTGCTTATGTCTCTTCACTTACATGACCATTTTTCCGGCAGGTTAATCATTTTTATATTAAGCATATATATAGTTAGATATACATTTCAGAACTTACGTCTATATTAGATATGCAGGTACTCAAAGGTGAATCCAACTATATATATATATATANTAATAAGCATATTTACGGTTAGATATATATTTCAGAACTTACTCTCTAGATTAGAAACCACGATAATGTAGCGTTTAAAATCTTAATCCCCATCATTTCCACCTACGTACCTTTCCCAAACATAATTTTTCCGATGTTGCTCTTTTACTTGGTTGCAGTGGACATGTTTGATCTGAAGGTTGATACTGTCAAAAGACACAATGGGAAACATAAGCTGTTTGTTTTCGGAGACTCGTACGTAGATACAGGGAATTGGCCAACATCAATGTCTAGTTCTTGGAAAGAACCTTATGGTCTCACTTACCCTGGTTCTCCTTCTGGCAGATTTTCCGACGGCCTCGTTCTCACTGATTTTATTGGTATTTTCCCTCTATCAAGCTTATCAAACAAAATCAATTTAGAGATACTTCTAATTATCCTTTTTCTCTTCTTTTTTTTCTTTTTCTTTTGGGCAATACATTTTTTTTCACACAGTGATTATACCAAATCATAGTAATTTACGTTTTATATGATCAATTGAGGTGAAAATGTATATTAACTAACTAAGTACATTTTCTTGCATGCGGTAGTTGTACCAAATCACAATTATTTACGTGTTTATATGATCAATTGAGGTGAAAATATATATTAACTAACTAAACTTTAGTGATAGCTCATCTCATTTATTTATCAAATTGATGTAAATATGATTGTGGATAATTTTTTTCTTATTACAATATATCCTTATTCAATTTATGTGACATTATACTGTTATTGAATATATTCTAAGAGTGACATATTTTTATATTTGAAAATAATTCAATTCTAGAATCAATGGATGAATGAACTTCGAAAATGCATGTCAAAGAATTTAATTATTAATGCATATTCAGCTGAAATGTACTTTTTCCAGGCACAGGATTCTCAAAAGGCAGCTTAGGAAAAAACATTATGCTCTGATCTTTCCGAATTTAATAGAAAACTTCCTTACTTTGTAGGCTTGGATATAATATATAGTAATAGAACATGATTTTTTAAACGCGGATATTAAATTATCAATATTACTTTTAATTATTTTCTTCATTTGTCCTCCACTATTACCATGACTTTTTTTAAAATTTCATTTATTTCCTTTGGGATATCATAATTTAAGCTAATTAAATACGTTGCTGATCACTTTCTAAATGCAGCTTCATTCCTTGGCATAAGATCACCTTTACCTTATACTAAGAAGGGATCTGATGGGAAATCATCAGTAAAAGATGGAGTGAATTTTGCATATGGAGGCACAGGTGTATTCAACACTTTTGTTAACCAACCAAATATGACAACACAAATAAATTATTTTCAGCAACTAATTCAAGAAGAAGAGGTGTATACAAAAAAGGAAATGAGTTCCTCCATTGCTCTTGTGTCTGTGGCAGGCAATGATTATGCTACTTTCTTGACCAAAAATGGCAACAATATGGACGTAAGTTGTTAAACTAACCTTACCTATATATCACAAGCACTGTTTGGTGATCAGTATATATATATATATGGACTTCGTATATATTCTTGATTTTGCTAGCTAACAAGTGTCTTCATAATTAATGGTGAAGCAACAATGTCTTGGTTAGGGAAGAAAATTATATTGATTAGATGTTAATTGTGGTAAATACTTATTCATATTCAGTATTTTCACCATATCGTATTAATTTATCATGATTAATTAATTAATGAGGTGATAATATATACTCCTAATTAACCATAGTTAAGTGATAAAAATGTATGTGTAAGCATATGATATATACATCTATTGGCTTCAGAGGCGTATCCAAAGAGAGGGATATGGGTTCAAGAGAACCCATACTCCTCTTCCTAAATCATGTATCACAATATTATATTTTCTCAAAATTATTTAAATATATGTGTGTGAACTCATGCTCAGTGCAATTATTATTGAGTGCACCTCTACAATTGAAATTGGCAGTTTGTGAGGCTTGCTCAGTTGGTAAAAGCACCTCCACCTACGACCGTTAGGTCCTGGATTCGAGTCACGATGGAGTGAAAGTGTGGAAACACTATAGATCCTCCTAATTTGGGAGGGGTTTAAAAAATAATTAAAAAAAAATAAAATTGGCAGTTCAGATCTCACTCTAAAAATATATACGTGAAAATTACTAAAATTTCAAAAAGAATATAATTTTGAACCTATAATTTTAAAAGTATAGTAGGTTATGGTAAGAGACTAAAGTTAGACCAGTCAAATATAAATTTTAGATCCATCTTTTCACAATAGTGCATTCATCCTCTTGAAAACCTGGATCCGCCTCTGATTGGCTTGGTGTCAACACCTAGTGTGAGTAAGTTTTATTGCTCTTGATCTCATTACTGTTTGATGAGAAATTGTTCTGTATATTTCTTTATACTCCATTTATTAGTTTCCCATCCCAAATATTAGTCCTTACAGAATTTGTTTTAAAATATTTGACGTTTAAAAAAAAAGTCATATATTATATTTGTCAGAATCTACCCTTATATGATTCTAATTAGTGGAGCGTTAATTAACTAAGACATGTAATAAAAGAGATTTAATTGATTGTTTAGACATATTTGATGATTAAATTTATTAAATGTAGCGGCTTAATGTTACATGGACCGGGGGATTAGTAACTCTAAAATGTTTTCAATATGAAACATTTATACCTTGCGCGAGAGCTTGATTTAGATTATTTTGTTTAATGTTATAAGTTAAAAGTTACAAGTAAACTTTCACTTTTCATTCTTCTTTTCGTTTGTTCGAGGATTTGTATAGGTTCTAACATATTGTTTTGGGAACCCATCAACCTTTGACTTCTATCAAGATTGTGTCAAACATATTTAAGTTTGCTGATTCACGAGGAATGTAATATAATGGTAGAACTACTACTCCTTATATATCACGTTTTTTTTTGTTTCTAGCCTAGTATTGGTACCCGCTTTAGGACTCGACTAATCCAAATTTGTACAAGAAAGTTCCACGTTGGGAATAAAACACTCCCTTGTTATGCACACCTTTTTTTTTTTTGGTTTGAAACCTATTCTCCTATAAACAATCCATTATTTTATTGGAATTAATTATTGCTAAAACTAAAATATCAATAAAACATTTGTAATTTACATATTTTTTGTGTGTGCAGGACTTGGGCGATATAACTAAATCAATAATAAGTCAACTTGAATTGAACCTTAGACGCATACATGGATTAGGAGTTTCTAAAATTGGCATCACAGCAATGGAACCCATAGGATGTTTGCCAAGAATGACTGCTGCTTCTTCTTATGAGAATTGCAGTGATTCTGCAAATTCTCTCTCAATATTTCACAATGAAATTCTGCATCAAACTATAGAGAAGCTCAATAATCAAACTGGTAAACCAGTTTTCGTCATTCTTGATATCTACAATGCCTTCATTTCTGCCTTGGACATACAGCAAAACCATCCAGGTAATATATGCATTAAATGTATATTACACCATTTAAATCATTGAAGATATTTCGAGTTTTTTTGGGTTAATTTCACGTATATATGGTGCCAGCCTAGATTTTTATATTAAACGGAAGTTTTAAATCTTTTTTTTCCTTTTCATTTAAGTGTTTTTAAATTGTCTATTGTTTAAATTATGGGCAGTAAAAATTTTATACGGAGGAATTTTTTATTTTCTAATCTCTCTTTCATTTTCTTTTCTTCCCATATGACATGTATATGATTCAATTTTTTATATATTAGGAAATTCAAACTTTGAGAAACCACTGAAACCATGTTGCTCGGGAACGAGCAGTGAATATTCATGTGGAGACAAGAAGGGAATGAGGAAAAATTACGTCTTATGTCGAAATCCAGAGCTTTCATTCTTTTGGGATGTCATTCATCCTTCTCAGCAAGGCTGGTTTGCTGTTTTTTCTGCTCTAAAGCCTTCTCTACGTTCCCTACTGTAAATCATAGGCTAGTCTGAAGAGTCAAAGTCAAGATTTAAAATTTATGAGTTCTTAACTTATCATTGAATCCATAGATTATTTTAGTTATTGAGATTGTAATTAAATATTTATACGTATTTAATGACTTTTCTTTGTTGCTACTGAATTCGTCCGAATCCATAGGTAATACTCTAGCTCCGCCCCGAGGCTAGATATCCCTTTGTTGCTACCTTTTCCTAATTTTCTACTTTCTATTTTCTTGAATAATTTTGATGGTGTGTTAAGTCTTGGTAAATATATGTGTTTGTGTGCGAAAGAAAAAAGACTCGTCGAGTGACTTCAAAATTAATTAGTACGTAGTAATTAAACTATCTTTGATGAAACTCTAAAAAATTTCCTTAATCTCGTGAGACGTGAGTCCCATTTTGTGTGTTATTAATTGACGAATATGTGTAAATTGCTTTGAGAGTTGAGGCAGTTGTTCATTGCACAACAATTACATCCTTGTAGTGCTCTTCAAATCCTCTTCTTTGCTCTCCATTGTTGTATAGACTAGCTTGCACTCATAATAAGTTGAGGGACTCATATGTTAATATTAGAAAGTTAAGTAGTCAAGTGTTGGTTAGTTAAAGGTGGTTAGAAGTTGGGTCTATAAATACCCACTCACGTGTATCTAATTTTCAGTTAATGAGTATTACCAGACTAGTCTTCTTCACCTCCCTGCTTCTCTTCATTTCTTCTTCCTTAATTCCTTTCTTTCGATCAATTGCATGTTAGATTAGTCAGTGCATTCAACTGATTTTATCATGGTATCAGGGCGGCGATCGTGAATTCACGAGTTTCAGCCGAAATTCAGAAGATCGGAGCTCCGACGAAACTGAGATTTAGTCAGTCATAGCAGGAAACGAAGTCGCCTCACCAAATCACAATTATCCACTGTTTTTACAACCCTCAAATGCTCCAGGTCTCGTCTTAGTACCGCTCAAACTCACAGGGACAGAAAATTACGCTCTGTGGAGCAGAACGATGAAATTGACACTCTAGGGAAAGAGTAAGCTAGGGTTTGTGGACAAAACTTGTGTAAAAAATACGTACAAAGGTGAATTGGCAAAGCAATAGGAAAAATGCAATGCGATCGTCTTGTCATGGATTGGGAGTATTGTATCGAGTAAATTGATGCCAAGTATTATTTAGGCCTCAAATGCGAGGAAAGTTTGGAATGATTTCCAGGAGAGGTTTGATCGGTCGAACTTAACAAGGATCTATCACCGTTTGAGAGCCATAGCAACTTTAAGGCAATGTACTGACTCTGCCACTAGCTATTTCTCTAAAATGAAGGACTTGTGGGATGAACTTGATGTGTTAGCACCACTATCTTCATATGATTGTGAAGAATCTAGACCCTCGGATGAATAATATGAAATCACAACATTTGCTACCGTTCCTTATAGGACTGAATGAAAGTTACAATAACATAAGGAGTAATGTGTTGGCTAAGAGACATGTTGTGACTGTTAATGAAGCATATGCAATAGTTACTCAGGAAGAAAGTCAAAGATTATTTTGTATGCATACACTAGAATAACATGAGAAAAATCAAAGATTATGTCCAATTTGAAGCAATCTTAATTGATCCCTCGTTACTGCTTCTTTTAGCAGTAATAGGTAGGCTTTAGGTGTTGTTGATATACAAAGGGAATCACTTACTATGCTATCAAGAAGAGGTCAGGACTTTAAAGCTAAAAAGGCAGGCCTTATTTGTGAGCATTGTGGATATAAATGGCACCTTAAGGAGAATTGCTTCAAAATATAATTAATTATCCAACTGACTTCAAAAGTAAAAGGAAGAGTCGGCCTGGAAGAGGAAAGGCATATGCCAACAGTGTGAATACAAATAGCGAGGAAGGGAAATCAGGAACAGTGTAGGTGCAAAGAGATGGACAGTTCTTCACAGAAGAGCAATACCAATAGTTAGTCAAACTGTTGTCAAAACCAACAACTGCAAAATGGTCTACTAACTTGGCAGGTATAGTCTCTATATTATCCAATGCAAGTATGTGTGATTGAGTAATAGATACAGGAACAACACACCATGTTATATATTGTAAGGGCATCCTAAACAATATAAAGAAGGCAGCTGATCAATGGAGACATGGAGTACAACTATCTATAGGAAATAAATCACAAATAACTCACACAGGAGAGGCATTCATATTAGGAGTAAGACAGTAACAAATATCTTATATGTGCCAGATTTTAAAATTCAACGTGCTCTCAGTATCAAAACTCACAAGGGATCTCTGTTGCTATGTCACATTCTTTCCTGATTTCTGTATGTTTCAAGATCTTTACAGTGGAAGGTGCGATGGGGATTGGTAGAGAGAACAATGGATTATACTTGTTGAAAGAAAATATAACAGTAGCAGCAACATGAGTTTTCATGAAAAAGAGTACAGAAACTGAACTTTGGAACTTGAGGCTAGGACATGCTTCACTAAAGTCAATGAAACACATTCCATAATTGAAGAATAAGATGGATATGCAGGTGCAAGAGAATTGCCAAGTGTGTCCATTAGCTAGACAATGTAGGTTAAAGTTTCCTCTAAGTAGTACTAGTTATACTAGTAGCTTTTAGCTTATTCACTTAGATATTTGGGGACCTCACAAAGTTCCTACATATGATAGGAAGCACTATTTTGTTACCATTATTGATGACTACAGTAGGTATACTTGGGTATATTTGATTCAGTCAAAATGTGAAGTGTTGATTGTAATAATAAACTTTGTTGCAATGATACAAAATTAATTTGGTGTCACTGTAAAAGTGTTGAGATCAGACAATGGTACTGAATACTTTAACTCTCAATATAATGATTTGTTAACATCTCTAGGAATTATACATCAGTATAGCTGACCATACACTCCTCAACAGAATGAAACAGTTGAAAGAAAACAAAGGCACATACTGGAGGTGAAAAGGGCACTAAAGTTTCAAAGCTTAGTGCCAATAAGATTTTGTGGTAACTGTGTTAGAACAACTTCCTATTTGATAAACAAACTGCCCACAAGAGTGTTGCAAAGCAAGTGTCCATATGAAATGTTGGATAGTAAACTAGCAAAAATAGATCACTTTCCAAGTGAGGCACCTCCAGTTGTCACATATGATCACCTACCTGAACAAATAGTTCATTCTCCTCGTGATGAAGCAAAATTCTGATGGTAGAGGGACATTCAACAGTCTGCAGCACCAGTTGAGGCAAAATCAGACACAGGTCAATCACTTGTGGAATAGGGCCTTGAAGATGAGTTACATATCAGGAAGTCCAGTAAAGTTTTAAGACCCTCCATTTGGCTAAAGACAATATTATAATATTCATCTCACAGAACAACCCACATTGCATTTCAAATTATGTTTCTTACACATATTTGTCAGACAACTACCAAGCTTATTTGGGAATGTTTTCAGTTGAAATTGAATCAAAGTCCTTTAAGGAAGCCTGCCAAGACAAGAATTGGATAGAGGCAATGTCACAAGAGATTAAGGCACTTGAAGACAATGCTACTTGGGAGGTGGTTGACTTGTTTGTCGGCAAAAGAGCAATAGGGTCCAAATGGGTATTTAAGATAAAATATAGAGCAAATGGGGGGAGGGGGGGGGATAGAGAGATATAAAGCTAGACTAGTGGCAAATGGTTACACTTAATAGGAAGGTTTGGACAATCATGAGACCTTCTCACTAGTGAACAAAATGATCACTGTGAGGATAATCATCAACATTGCAACCTCAAAAGGATGAACGTTATTTCAAATGGATGTAAATAATGCATTTTTGCAAGGAGATATTTATGAAGAAGTTTATACGGAATTGCATCAAGGTTTCCAGAAACAAGGGGAGCACAAAGTGTGCAAACTACTAAAATCACTATATGGCCTCAAGCAGGCCTCAAGGCCGTGGAACATTAAGATGACTAAAGCTTTATTGGAGGGAGGTTACTCTTAGAGTGCTCATGATCATTCCCACTTCACCAAGAAGACATGCCCACACATTGTCACCATCCTAGTATATGTGGATAATTTGCTCATTACTGGCAGCAATATATAACTGATAGAAGAAGCCAAACAGACCCTACACAGTTCCTTTAAGGTGAAAGATTAGGAGAACTTCAATATTTCCTTGGCATTGAAGTTCTGAGATCAAAGGAAGGGATACTACTCATAAAGAGGAAATATGCTCTCCAGTTGATCTCAGAAGTTGGGCTTGCAGTAGCCAAGCCAATCTCTACTCCTATTGAATTAAATCAGAAATTAACCACTATCAACTATGACAAGCATATAGGGGTCATCGGAGATGAAGAATTGGAAGATTTTGGGAGCTATCAATGGCTCATTGGGAAGCTATTTTACTTAACCATCACCAGACGAGACCTTAGCTTAGCAGTACAGGTACTCAGACAATTCATGCAACATCCCAAACAGTCTCATTGGGATGCAACACTGCGTGTAGTTAGATATGTTAAAATAGCCCCAGGCCTTGGAATTTTGTTGAGCACATTGTCAAGTCCTTAATCTTGAACTAAGCGCACGTGCGACACTTGACACCTCGCTCATGATCTTGCATAACTCGGTCACGATCTTGCTATGCCAAGTCAGCCTAAAATACTATACTCAAGATCACTAAGGGAATGTTAGATAAGAAAGACAAGAGAAATTTGCTAAAGAAAGCTTTTGTATTAGAGAGAACTTGATTATTTTTCTTGATGAGTTACAAATGAATAACCCCCTTTATATACTAGTTTCATAGGGGCTAGTGAGTAAATAATAATTATTATACAAGGCCTTTATTATTTACAAGTAAGTCTCTTCTCTAGAATATTCTACATAACTAGAATCTTCTAAGGACTTTCCTAGCAATTCCATAGGGTTCTAAGGTCTTCCATGAGAAATCTCCATATTTCTCTAGAACCTTCCCACATGTGCTAGTCTATTTCATATGTAAGCTTCCACATGGCATTAATATATGACAAATGGCACCTACGTAACATGATGATGTGGTGGGTCATGACACTCTCCCCCACCCAATTTTGTCCCGCCCTCGGCACAAAGCATCAACACGTACGCGCGCACCTCACCTTGGTGTTTGTCTATTAGCCATGATGCTATATGAAGCGGTTCGTCTTCCCATGTCACAAGGTACTAGTCACCTTTCTTCTTACCCTGTTTGTACTTTGGACGACTAGGAATGATGGCCTCGATCCTCTGCCCATCACATGCCTCTCCTTTCTATTGGCCTGAATTTCCCCATGACTTGACCAAGTCTAGCAGCTTCTCAAGCATCGGGTACATGCTTCCACTCCCTATTTTGCTTCCCTCCGTGGTCACAGCTTTATTGGAAAATTTGACCCCTCTGCTTGGTGCTTCGTCTAAGTCTGATAGCGTGCCATCACTTTGTAACTCGCCATCCTCTTCAACTATGTCTGCCCAACTTTTCTTGCTGCCACCATGCTCCAGTTGTATGGTGCCAAGATAGGCTTTGGAATCCTCTACTTTCGGCTTAGATTCCAATCGCATCCCCTCAATACA